TTGATAGACATTTGGGCTCCATCCACCTTTGGCTGTTTATGAATAGTGATGCTATAAACATGGTCGCCGAAGTATGTTTTGTGCTCCTTCCCCATCCTTTTGGATGTACATCCTGAAATGAAATTACGGGATCATGTGATATCCTGTTATTGATTTGGGGGGGTCTCTCATTGTGTTTCCCACAGTGGCTGCACCCTTTCCCACTCCCATGGGATCTCTTTCTGATCCTCACCAAGACTTGTTTCCTTCCTTTGTATTTTTTATAATGACTATCCTGCTGTGAAAAGTGGATTGCTGTGCAATTCAGCAGTTACCTTTACAGCAGCACCTGCCACATGTATGGAAGCAATTTGTTTTGTTTTCTTCTGTCCTCACTGAGTGGGCCTACTTGTCAGTCAGGGGGCAGCTCTGCCTTGTCCCTAGCAGTGTATAGCTTGGCTTTTTGAGAGATTTGTCTCTTGACTCCTGGGATACTCCCAGCTTACTGGAGAGCCTGAGGCTGACCTTCTCCACCAATCCTGTAACTCTAACCAGTTCCACTCTGTGTCCTCCCTCTCTTGTTACCCATCCCCATTTTGGAGCGCTCAGGCTTCACTAGTCCCCCCAAATCAGACTGCTTCCACATAGCACCTTCTCTCATAGAGATTCAGGGTTCCCTCATGTGCGTTTAGTTTTATGGACCCTTTGATGGCACCTGCTCTGAATTCATTGCTGGGCACACACAAGAGACACATAAATACTAAGCCTCCTTCGAGAGTGTCTGCTGAGTTTGGGGCTAGAACACATCTTTCTGTCAGCATTTTGTAGCTCCCCTTAGCTGCATCAGCGTTAGGTGTAGAGCCTATAAGCAGGGTTCAAGGGTTAAGCCACCACTGGGTTTGGCTGTGTGTGACCTCTTCCTTCTCCTAAGTAGGCCCAGCCAGGGGCAAGCTCCAGGAACTGTTTGGGAGCTGCCCACGGTTTCCAGGCCTGTCTGCCCTTGGTTCTTCCAGGGCTCAATAAGCTTGGGCTGTCAAGACATCTTTAGGCATAAAGTCAGGCATGCATGCTTCTCTATTTACAATGGAGTCATACCCCACAATCCCCATTGTAAGCTGAAAATACCCTTAGTGTGGCAAGCATCATTACTCAATCAGCTTTAGCCTCATAGTGTTGCATGTATTCTGTAGATTATTGAATACAAGAATGCTATCTGCTCAGTGCATCATATATCTGTTTTCCCTCATAGTTGGGGAACTGACCCAGAGCTGCAGCTACACAGAGAGAACTTAACTGCATTCGCCAGGTAGGCAAAAATCAGAACTCAGAATTCCAACTCCTGTCTTTATTGGTTTCATACCAGTTTTTCACCTTTGTAAAGTTGGGCTGTTTTACGTTGTGGACTGTCTCTATAAATCAGGAAGAGAGAGATAAATGGGGGGAGGAGGAAGAGAAGGGGGAGAGCCAATCCAGTAAATTACTGTTTATGAATGACAGCAATCACTGGTCCAAGGTAAACATCTCTGGAGCTAAGGAGTCACTCAGGAATTACACACACACACACACACACACACACACACACACACACACACACACACCACCACCACCACCACCACCACCAATAACAACAACTGACAATAGAAACAGCAACAATTAGAGATATAGAGGCCATGAATTTGAAAGAAAGCAGGCAAGGTACATGGGAGGGCTGGAGGGAGGAAAGAAAACGGGAAATGATACAATCTCTAAAACAAGCCAACAAAAACATTTTGAAAGGATCTTGTATTTGAGCTGAGGTGCCCAGGGTGGTCAGGTGAGGCTTCATGAAGGGGGAAGGAATTCCAGGCTGAGGCAAAGCTGTGTGATGACCAGTGGCTCTGCTGGGTGGCTGGGTTAGGGAGGATAATGGGATATGAGTCACGTGATCATCTTTCTTCTGGAGTCCAGGAATCTGTCAGAGACTGTTTGATGGAAGGGACTGGGATCCAGGTTTCTGAGGAGGGCCCTGGCTGCTGTATGGACAGATCAGAAGGGCTCAAAAGCAGGATTATGGGGGTTGGAGACAGTCCAGTGGATAAGTGTGCTTGCTGAGCAAGAATAAGGATCTGAATTTAAATCCCCAGAATCCACTTACAAAGCCCAGAATGGCACACCCCTATAGTTTCAGTACTTGGAGGAATGGAGACAAAGACAGGAGGATCCATGCTAGCTGCCCACCCTAGCTCTGGATGCAGTGAGAGGCCCTGTCTTAGGCAACAATGTAGAAAGTGATCAGAGCAGGACACTGGAGTCCTTCTCTGGGCTCTGGACATGGGCATAAGTACCTGCACATGTGTGCATAACACACACACACACACACACACACACACACACACACACACACACGTTTTCAAACAGAACAAGAGCATGGCAGTCAGGAGGCATGTTATAGTAAACCAGATCAGAAGAGCATATCAGGGTGACATCGACACAAGGTAACATAACTTAACTTACCTGAGCCATTTATCAGAAAATCTTAACAAATTTTTACGTTCACAAAAACCCATTGTTAACTACTGGCACAGTATTGCACAGCAGTTGTCTAGAATGTGTGAATGAGAATTCCTGCAAAGAAACTGTGTCAACAGAGACTGATTGATTAGAAATGCAGTGATGTGAGGAGGTTAGGCTGTCGCAGGTCCAGACTCTACTTACCTTATCTCAGGCTAGAGTTATCTCCCACCCCCTGAATAGCCATTCCTTGCCCACCTCTGTGTCAGAACTACTAGATAAAAACCTTTGAAGTCTATTAACACAACAGATCACCATCTCCCAAACTAAGAATGCTATCAGATAACATTTGAGGTCTATAGCAAAGTTTCCCCCATTTTGCTGTGACCACCTCTGATATACCCACCAAATATTTTAAACTTGCCTTGATTTATGGCATTTTTGCTGTTGTTCTGTAAAACTCATAAAATATTATAAATTGTTTCCATTTTGCAACATGGAATTTGGCGTAACCTAAATCTGTGTTCTTGGACCATGGTCACTCAACATGGCATCAAAATAAACTCTCTTATTTTCCTTTTAAAGTAAAAGTTACAGGGTTTTTTTGCCTTATTTTGCTTTTTGCACCTACAAATGTATTCATTTTATATAACTAGAATTTTATGATATTTTAACTTATAAAATGACTTAAAGGCTGTTGTATATCATAAGAAAAAGTCAAAAGATATTTCAGTATCTTTTATTTCTGTATATGTGTGTGTCTGTATGAGCGTAAGCCTCATGTGTGCAGGTGTGTTTGGAAGCCAGAAGAAGGAACAGGATCTCATGGAGGAGGATTTATGGGAAATTGTGAGCCTCTGTACATGGGTGCCAGGGACAGAATTCAGGTCCTCTGGAAGAGCAACAGGAGGTGCTCTTAACCACAACCATCACTCCAGCTCTGCCATAAAACAAAAGTTTAAGAAACTCAATCACATGTAGCAAAGAAAGTGATAGGAACAGCCCAAGTGCCAAGCAGGCCTCCCCCAGTGCCTGCTTAGTGTAGAGATGTAGTAGAGGTCAGATCACAGGGGACAGGAGAGAAGAGAGATGGTGTGTTAGCCAACTTTCCCTTACTGTCACAAATGCCTGGCACAATCGGCTTACAAAGAGAAAAGGTTCATTTTGGTTCACACCTTTGAGCATCTCAGTCCATGGCTGCTTGCCTTTGCTGCCTTTGAGCCTCTGGGGCAGCAGCACATGAGGGCAGGAATGTGTGGTGTGCTAAGCTGTTCACATCATGGTGCCTGGAAAGTAGAGAGGCCGAGGTCTCAGTATCTCCTTCAAGAATATATTGCCTAAACTCTGTTCCCCTAGGTCCTTCCTCTTAAGGGTTCCGCCCTTCTCAGTAGTGACATGTGTGGGGACAAAGGCTCTGCCATATGGAGCTTGGGGGGACACTTCTTGCATGCAACCTCTGACCAATGCCCCGGCTCCGCAGCTCACACAGATCTCAGTCCATGCCTTCTCTTCCCTTCTGTTGAAACGTTCCGCTCCAGATCTTCACTTGGCTGCCTCCCCTTCTTCATTTCAGCTCTCACTATAAATGTCCCTTCCCCAGAGATGACTCCTGTGACCTCACTATCAGGTGGTACACCCCACTCTTTAACCCCTCAGTCTGTGACTTCTTAGCCCCTGGCACACTGTAACACCATCCTAACTGAGGTTGCTCTTGTTGATGGCCAGTCTGTTCCTCCCATGGAGAGTGTTCTTGGTCTGTTTGCCCATGCCCTTCTACCCAGTGCCCAGAGCAGCATTCAAAAGTTCTCAGTGGCTGTTTGTTGAGTAAACTGTTCCAAGTCCCTACCTCCCGATGCTATCACCTTGGAAATTAGATTTCAACACTTGTTGGGAAGGGGACCTTCCAACCAGGCACTGGCAACACCATGTGAATATATTCTTCCAGCACCCATTTTTGTCTTATCTAATCCTCAGGTACCTGATGGGGTAACTGCTATTCTCATACAGGACGTGCCATCTGCAACAGGAAGTCCGGTGATATAGTTGTTAGAATCAGGGTTTGAATCCAGGCCTGTTTAGCACCAGAGGCTCCCACTTTCTCATGGAAAAGAACTGTTTCTCCCCCAAGGAAGTGGCTAAGGAATAGTGATAAGCACAGGCAGTTTGGAGGGAGAAAGTACTGCAGGAAGAAAGGAGAAGGGCGGGTGAGTGGGGAGGAGCTAGATTAGCTGTGTGAGAAGTGGCAACTTGCTTGCAGACAGGTAGGCTGAACAAGGGCTAGAACAGAATGGAGCAAGGAGTTCAGAGTGACGATGCAAAAGAAATTTGGAGGCTGTCTTGGTGTCCTGTTGCTGTGAAGAGACACCATGACCATGGAAACTTTTTGTTTTTGAAGATTGATTGATTATGTGTATTGTGTTCTGTCTGTCTGTTTGTATGCCTGCATGCCAGAAGAGGGCACCCGATCTCATTTTGGATGGTTGTGAGCCACCATGCAGTTGCTGGGACTTGAACTCAGGACCTCTGGAAGAGCACCCAATGCTCCTAACCTCTGAACCATCTCCTTAGCTCCGCCATGGCAACTCTTTTAAAGGTAAGCATTTAATTGGGGTTTGCTTATAGCTTTGAAGGTTAGCCCATTATCATCATGGCAGGAAGCATGGTGGAGTGCAGACAGACATGCTGCTGGAGTAGTAGCTGAGACTGACCACCAGACTGGCAAGCAGCAGGAAGAGAGAGACACTGGGCCTGGTTTGAGCATTTGAAACCCCAAAGCTCATGCCCAGGAACACACTTACCCAACAAGGTTACACCTACCAATCTCTCTCAAGTAGCACCTTACAAATATATGAGCCTATGGTGGTAATGGTGGGCGGTTGGGGGGGGCTCATCTATTCCTATTCAAACCACTATAGTGGGGATGGAGCCTAGCTTAAGCCAGGAAGTTGGTGGTAGGAGATGTGGACTCAAAAGCAGGGTGGGGAACTCAGACCTCATAACAGGACAAGGAGCCATGGAAGGATTTGACAGTGAGAATCTCTATGAATAAAGTACAATGATATGTATGTATAAAAATGTCACAGGAAACTTGTTATTTTATATGCTAAGTTAAACAATGATAATGATGGAATGACAGGAAAGGATTTTTGCATTCAGTGCCAGGTGTGATTTTACCCACCTGCAAATCTGGCATTTAGGAGATGGAGGCAAACACACTGTGAGTTTGATCCAGCCCAGACTACTTAAGGAGAGTCTATAACATACACAAAAATACATATATATGTAAAACTTGGGGACTTTTTACCCTGCTGCATGTAGGATGGATTATAAGAGAACAAGTCATGCCAAGTGTTGGTGGCTCACAACTGTAATCCCAGCACTCAGGAGGCAGAGGCAGGCGGATCTCTGTGAGTTCAAAGCCAGCCTTGTCTACAGAACTAGTTCTAGAACAGGCTCCAAAGCAATATAGAGAAACCCTGTCACAAAAAAACCAAAAGCGAGAGCAAGCGAGTGAGCGAGGGAGAGAGAGAGAGAGAGAGAGAGAGAGAGAGAGAGAGAGAGAGAGAGAGAACAAGTCAGAAGGAGGAGACAGATAGGAAACTGTAGGTAGTCAGAAAGAGGTTGCATGGCTCCCATAAACAGTGACAATGGCAGCTAATTGATCTGTGAGTGGGGCAGTGCTAGCTCTTGTAGCATTTCACCACTCAATTTCAAGTTCACAGATGGGTCTATATAGGACTTCATGACCACAGAGAGAAGGACTTCTTACCCATGATGGTTCTGCATGGAGCTAGACAAGAGCAGAGAGAAAGATATGCGCCTCAAAGACCTTCTGCTTTTCAGAACATGGTCACAGCTCCATGCAAGAGGCTCTGCAGCATAGTCTAGCTTAACTGCTGCTCTCCTCCTCACTACAGAGAAGAGTAATGGATGGAGCTTTCTCAGCCCTGAAGGAAGAAGCACTTTTAAGGATGGAAACTAATAAGGTGCTGTCAGGCATCAGGGAGAGAGGAGTCAGGCGTGAAAGAGGAAACCCTTGCTCTGACAAGCTCCCATTGGCCCAAGAACCACAGTGACCATCCCCATCCTCAAAATATTTACATCCAATCAGCTCACAAGTAGTTTCAAAGACTTAACATTTTTTTCCTGATACAAAATCATGCAGACCATTCTAATCTTGTCTGTACAGCTGTGGGCAAAGTTTTCTATCAGTAATAGCTAACTTTATTCAATGTGACATATGAGCCTTTTATGGACTTTCCCAAGTAATGTGCCAAAGGAGGCAAGCATTTTTAAAAAAATTATTAACTAGTGTACAGTTGTGAAGATAAGGGTCATGGAAAAATAGTTTGGCCAAGATCTGGGAACTGGGAAAGTCCCGGTAGGAGGTGTAGGCTGTTTCCAGGGTGTATATACTCAGCCATCATATGATACTGGACCGTATGCTCAGTAAGATTAGGCTACTTTGATTTTTCTTTTTAAAATAAAATGTAATTATATCATTACCACCTTTCCCTTTCTCCCCTCAATTCCTCCCAAGTAATGTGGTCCCTCTTAAAATTATGGCCCTTGTCTTTAATTGTTCTTAAATAGATAAACACAACCTGCTTAGTCCATTTAGTGTTACTTGTATGTGTAGGATTTCAAGGCTAACAACTACACTCCAGCATCTAAGGCTTAGGGAACAACTCAGAAGAGGCAACAAGAAGACTGAGAGAGTCAGAGGACCAGGGAATCTGTGATACTGTCTCCTAGAAATGACAAAGAAGTTTCACCCATGATACCTCAACAATGTGGCTGTCTAAACAGGATCTGAATAAGGACAACACCAATAGGTATGCTAACATGGAAGGGGAAAAGCGTCACAGGAGCCTACATGTAGGAAAAGAACTACAGGCAACTCAGGAATGCTGAGATCAGGAGAATGGTGTCAAAGGGTTATGCTATTTCTTGAAGTAAGAGGCCTAGAAAGAAGAAGGGAGTGAGGTTAGTGCAGGTTGAATGTAAGCTACTGGAGGTGTTCAGTGACATTTTCTTTCTCCTATTTTTTTAAAGATACATATTTTTGACTTATGTATACATGTGTGTGTGTCTGTGCATATGCGCACACACGTGTGTACATGAATGTGTGCCACTTGTGTTTGGAGACCCAAGGAGGACAGAAGAGATTTTAAGAATTCTTGTAGCTGGAGTTACAGGCAATTGTGACTGCTCTCTACTCCATGTGAGTACTGGGAGCTGAACTTAGATCCTTGGGAAGAGCAGAAAACACCCTTAGCCATTGAGACATCTTCCCAGTCCCCAAGTGAATGACAGACCCTCCCAAAGATGTCTAATCAGAATCTTTGAAACTTGGGGGTAGGTTTTTCTACATAGAGAAGGGGACCTTGCTGATGTGACTGAGAGTATTAGAGGTTGAACTACATCCCTACCCAATGCACATGTTGTAATCCCTGTCCCCAGGCTCCCAGGATGGGATTCTATTTGAGACAAGGTCTTTCTTTATAGTGGTAATCATGTTAAAGGAGGTCATGTGGGTAACCCTGACCAAATGTGCTTGGTGACCCTATAAGGATATGAGATTAGGAAACAGAGCTGTATGGATGAGGGATCACATGGGGACACAGAAAGGAAATGGCATCTGCCAGCCAAAGACACTGGCCTCAAAGGAAATCAGCTATGATGCCTTAGCCTCCACCTTACAGTTTCCACAATCACAAGAACAGATGTCTGTTGTCTAAGCCATCTGTTCTGTGGGATTTTGCCACAGAAGTCTTAGCCAACTAGGATTTAAGAGCTTGAACCAGAGATCTTTTCCTGGACTACCCCCATGGATCCGGTGTAAGGTCTTAATAAAAGAGGCCCAAATAAGGTCCAGAACAAAGGTCTTTACAAGAAAGAGAGGCGGCAAGAGGGTCAGATCAGACGTAATGACATAAGAGGCTAAGTCCTTCAAATTCTTCTTGCTGGAAATAGGTGTCTACAAACAGGAAGGCAGACAGAAGATACAAACTGCATAAAGCAGGGGATGGATTCCTCCCTGGATCCTCAGAGGGAATGGCGGTCCTGCATATGCTTTCCTGGAGCCCTCTGAGATGGGACTTCTGACCTCCAGAGATGTAAGACCATACATTTGAACAGTCACCATAGCAACTTAACAGTCCACTAGGAATTGGACATGTGGGAATGGTTTGGAGAAGGCCTTCCACCGTGCCACAATAAAACCATTGCCATGGCAGTCATTCACAAAAGTGCTTAACTTTTTTTCTTAAGATTTGTTTGTTTTTGTTTTATGTGTATGGGTGTTTTGCCTGCATGCATGTCTGTGCACAGTGTCCAAAGAGGCCAGAAGAGGGCATTGGATCCCCTGCAACCGGAGTTACAGATGGTTGTGAGTCACCATGTGGGTACTGGGGATTGAACCTTTGAAGAGCATCCAGAGCTCTTAACTACTGAACCATCTCTTAGCCCTAGAGAAGTGTTAGAGTAAGGAAAAGGTGGGGACTGGGGAAGGAAATTTTCTAGAAAAGGGCAGAACCACAGTGTATTTGTTGAAGGTTGAGTCTCCAAACAGTGTAGGCAAGTAGGAAAAGTGTGGAGAGCCCTTGATCGTCTAACCCAAGCATATCCTACAAATATGCACATGCCACAGTTTGAAGGCTGGGATGGATGAGTTGCAGAGCAAGACTGCAAAATAGAGCAGTACCAGAGGTCAAGGTGGGGGTTATCTTCTCCAACTAGCCAGTGAGCAGCCTCTCTTTTCTCTTATCTGGGTCTCTTCCCCCTGTGTCTGATGTGAAAACCCAGCATATCTGTATTCCAGAGGCAGGTTGGGGTCCACCTGGCTTGAGTACCATTATCTGAGCATCCCTAATTCCCCCACCATGATTATACTGCATCACACCTGAGGAGTCCCCCATTATGTTCACACTGCATCACACATGAAGATTCCCTTGGCTCTCTTCTCTGGGAATTAACCTGACAGCTTCCGGAAAGTCGGAGTCTATGTCTTCATTATGTCATCCAGGTTCTGATGTCCACTGTGGGCTTGGGAAATTGGCTAATTGGAATGTCAGTTAGAGATGATATTTGAACAAAGGAGCAGGGAAAAGGAAGGCCAGAGCCAGAGCCTGAGGAGTGAGTGATGCAGCTGTGACTGGAAACACACTTCCCATGTATCCCAGGAAAAGAGCACAGTTCCCATTGGCCTTTTGTAATTTATTGAAGACAATCCCAACTTAGTATGTGTGACTGATTGATAAGGAGCATAATGACTCCCCCGCTTTTCTTAATAGTCACTTTAGTAGCTTTTCTAGAGAAACCTGTAGGACAGTGGGAGATGGTCTCATTCTGGTGGTCTAATGGTCTCACTCACCCTTTAGTGAACACATCTTTCCTTTAGAGTAGAGACCTGGACTGTGAGGTGGTCTGGCATCCCTGAAGGTTGCACCCATAGGTTGCAGGAGAATTGAGCATAGTCCCTCAGATCTGAGGTCCTTTGTTGGAGACCTACAGAACCTAGCTACAGAGTGACAGCTCCTGCACCCAACAGAGTCTCTGAGGCTGCCTGTGAGTCTCAGGAGGAGGTCTCAGGCATGAACAGCTGTCCTCACAGAGCCTAAGCAGATAGGCCTCTGGGGTGTGAGGTGAAAGGAAGCCGCTGAGCACCCCCTCCATCAATGTCTATTGTCTACTTTGATTTGTGTTTGGAGCATCTCTCCAAGACCTGGTCTCTGCCTGCCTCGTCTAGACCACAAATTCATTCTAGAATGTAATTTCTTCAGGTCAAGTTTTGAGTCTCAATACTGGGCTTGTGGGGTCCCTCTGCACTACCATCACCCGGGAGTAGAGCCACCAGTTGCAGAGAGGTACCTGAGGAGCCATGCATGAAACCCACTGTCTCTATTTTTCCTGGCATCCTACTTGTGAGAGGAAATGTGGCAATGAGGGAACATTTTAGAGGAGGAGAGTTTGTGGGTATAGTCTTCAAATGCCTGGTGAAACAGGATGAACATGGCAGACACTTAAATAGAATACAATTCAACATGACATTGATTCCTTTAGGCTTCCGATTAGATTAATTTCTTCAAAACAGAATAGCTACAGGAAGAGCAGGTAATACATTCTGGTGAGATAGTACTGTGGATGCTGGCCCTGTCTTCTGACCAGCGAGATGACTGAAGTCATTGCCCAGGATGCTTTGTTGCAGAAATGTGGCATCTAGCCTGGCTTCACTCACAGACTGTCTTCACCCTCAGGATTTCATAGTCTTTGGCAAAAAGTTCCAAGATGCACTGCTTTTAGGGTGATTCAGCCCATTTCCGGGCCCTCACTTGTGTGGGAAGTCTAGTAAGGGTAGATAACCAATATTTGGGATTTTTTTCCTCAAAGGCTCTTCTTTGTTTCTGTCTACTTGAGGGGAGGGGATGGGGTGAAATGGGGACAGGTACTGATGTTGCTGCAAAAGATGTTTTGAACTTGAAGAGTACCTGACATCATGATATCCCCAAACTCCCTTCCATTGAGATATACACAGCAGTGATGTTTGCAAAGACCCTCCTCCCAGGGCTGTGCCCAGACAATGAGCTCTTGGGATAATGAGGTGTGTGGGATATGGACTCCAAGTGAGCTCATCTGTGTGTGTGCTCTCTTTCAAGAAAGCACCAAGGAATGAGAGGCTTCATCACAGGGCTGGCCTTCTATGCCAGGAGAAAGGAAAGTGACCTGCAAGCCCTGTCATGGAGGCACTAGCACTCAAAATAGTGGCAGCATTGCAATAACCCTAGGTTTGGTCCTGACCTGCCTGCGTGCTGGGGATGATGTACTGGAGGATCTGGGCTCATTGGTGTGAGTCTTAATGAAGGACAATATTATCTTAAGTGAGCGTTGAAAAGGCCAGAGACTTCCCAAACTCTGACTCTTTAGTTAAGGAGTTGGTGTGTGTGTGTGTGTGATTCCATGAAAAAAAAATATTGTCGCCATGGATTTCCTACAATGCAACAGGAACAAAGATGGATTCTGACTCTGCCTATGGAAGTTCTGTGAAGGACCGAGACATCTGGAGACCTGTTGGAGGAAGGTTGCTATGGTGATCCCAAATGCCTGAAGGTTGAGGGATGTAGGGAGTCAACTGGAAATAATGTACCTCTTGTCACTCACCCTGTTATCAGGTGCTTTCTCCTGGCCTCTGGCCTGGCACAGCTCGGGGGAGCTGTTATGGGCACCTGGTCTTTCACCTAAAGGCTTCTTGGTGTCTATAAGAAGTTTGGAGGGCACTTACCTCTTGAGTTATATCTACTTGGTGGGGGTCCTCTGGAGATGTGTCTCCCAGTCTCTATAGACCCCGGGAGCTTACAGGGTACCAAGGGGAAGCTGGATATAAGGCACTTGGGGAAGCAGGAGGGAAGTAAACAAGAGAGGATGAAACAGCATCCAGGAGCTGTGCAGAACCCTAACTCCACAGGGCCTCATTTGCCCAGCTTTTGCCCAGTTGTTGCCTCCTTACACACCTTGCCCTTTCCTAACACTTATTTTCCCTTTGTCTTCAGAAGGGACGAGCATGGTCTCCAGAAATCTCTCTGTCTTTCTGTAAATTTATGTTAGACCCATGTGTTCCCAAGGCCACTTTAAGAACTCAACATGTGATATTACCAAGTGGCTTGACTTTGTCCCTCCCCTTTCACTTTTGGAAATAAGAGGAGATCAGGAACTGGATCTGGCTGTTCCCAATCTAGGCCCAGAGAAGGAAACTCAATAAATACTCTCCAGTTTGGTGGTGAGGAACAGGGATGATACAGGTCGGGATCTTTGGTGAATCTATCTCTAGAAATCCACGGGGCATTCGGACATGGTGTCTCATCTCAGGTTAGGTCTGGATTGAGAGGAAGGGGAGATGACCGTAAAGGTCTCATCTGTGACCTTCCATACTTCTGTTCTGGCGATGCATAGAGACAGAGGTGAGGTGGGGGAAGGAGTTAGAACATGGAGCATTTGTTCTTGGCCAATTGCCAAGATGAAGGCAGTCTGTGAAAAGAGCACTGGAGGGTCAAGGGGAAACTGTGACACCACTTAGCCTGCCCTATTGCCTCTGGTGTCAATACTATGGATTTGGGAATGAACTTCCTTGGCTAGCTAACTTCTAGAGCTATGCCCAGAGGAATGATCTGCCCTGGACAGTGTTTCCCGCCCACCCCCAGCCCCCATCACTGTCCAGATTTTGGAATGTGTGACACATGAGAATTGTCCTGTCTCTTGTAACACTAGTCAATGTCTCACCCAAGGAGGGAGCCAAGACTGTCAAATCCAGTAGGTCTGAAGTCAGCCTTCCCTCCTTAATCAGGCTTGGTTCCAGAAGGCTGCAGATGTGGAATCCAGCTGAGATACACAAGTATAAGACGAAGTTCTTTTTGGGAGCATAGTCAACACCCAAAGAATTTCCCAGCATGCACTGCCTTTGGCAGAGAGAGTGGGATGGATGATGATTAAATGCAGGTGCCAGGGATGAGAATATTGAGAATATCCGAGGGAGCATCAGCAGCGATGTAGAAACCAGGTGAGACTCAGCCAGCAACACTGCTAGGTTGTGTGAGGGTGAAGCCCTGGGCTCTGTCCTGCCCTTAGGGCCAAGAGGAGGGTTTGCCTGGATCAGCTTGGTGGTACCTGACAGAGAAGGTGAAGAGGCGGGATGCTGGTCAGCAGATATTCTGGTCAGATTGCCTTCAGCGGTTCAGGAGGAAGAACTTGAGGCTTTGGAAGAAGTTGGACTTCTGCCTTTGCTTCTGTTTCTTTTTGATGATGGGTACCCACACCAGCCCACACACCAGCATCATGAGCCCCAAGGACAGGAAGGCAGGCCCTATCATCTTGAGGACTGGCACAACCGTATTCTTCTCTTCCAAGATGTAGGCCACACAGGTGATGGCCACACCAAAGAGCAGAATGGCAGCACCCACTGACATGATGATGATGGGCTTGTGGTAGATTTCCCAGTTGCTCCTGGGAGTGGTGGTCCAGACAGACTCACTTCTGGAGCTGATACACAGAGAGCTGGCTGTCTGGCTGGGCAGCAGGTCCTTAGACTCTGGAGACGTTTCGTCTACCTCCAGGGCCTTGGGGAGCACTTCCATCGTCATGGCTGTTCAAGACCAGGCACCTAGTATTGACAACAGTTAGAAAGGATGGTGAAGCCAAAGGAATCCTTTCCCATCCATTCTGTACTCAGTGTCTGTCCCTCTCCAGCCTGACTCTCAGTGGAGTGGGATACAGTATAAGTGTGTGTGTGCGCACGCGCGTGCGTGTGTGTCTGTATGTGTGTATTTAAGTTAATGGTAAATCTAGGTGAAATGTGCATAAATAAAAATCCCTCCAGAGCTGGGAAGATGGCTCAGTGGGTAAAGTGCTTGCTATGCAAGTGTGAGAATTGGCATTTGGATCCCCAGCACCCACTTAAAAAGCAAGCATGGCAGCACATTGGGTTGGAGGCAGGAATAGAGACTAGGGAGTCCTGGGAGCTTTCTGGCCAGCTAGCCTAGCCAAACTAGTAAGCTCCAGGTTCAACAAAAGAGCCTATCTCAAAAATTAAGATGGAGAGCAATTGAGGACAACTCATATTGTCACCCTCTGGTCTCCAACATACATCCACAAATGCTAGTGTGCCCTTCCATACTCATGAACACATACATATAGCTCACACACAAACTCAAAGATGTGATACAAGATAGCATTTCCCCCCTCTTGTTTTGTTTTCTAAGACAGAGACTCATTGTGTTATATAGTTTGACATGGTGAATTTGTAGTCCTCCTGCCTCTACCTCCTGAGTGCTGGGGTTGCAGGCAGGTGCCACCACACTAGGCTAATACCATATCACACTAATAATTACCTTTCCTATTTAAAATAGCAAACAGTAGCATTTAATAACAAACAAACACCAAGCATAGTTTATTGAGTGGTGTGTCATTTTCAAGCCTAACCCTTCTCTAGCTGTGTGATCTTAAGTGCGTTGTTAACCTGCGTTTCTGTTTTTATTATTTTATCTACAAAATGAGAGTAACAGTATTAGCTCCCTCACAGGTGTTTCAAAGTGTTAAAGGAGAGCAGGCATAGACTGCACTAGATTGATGCCCAGCAGGTTCTGGGTGCTCTGGAAGTGGTGTCACTAGCCTGTTGGGATGACAATGTTCTATCATTACTAGCTTGTGCTTGTGTGTCTGTTTAACTCTTCTCTAGTCAGACTGATGCAACACCATAACCCCACACACCTATCACTAGTCCCATTTTACAGATTAGAAAGCTGAGGCTTGGAGAGGTGAAACAATTAGTTTGTAAGAGCTCAGGTTTTCGTCTGTAGGTCAGTGCTGCTTCAAGCACCCGAGATTCCATGTGTCACGTGATCTTCTATCATATAAATTCCCCACCAACCATACTGAAACTGTTGTGGCAAAGAGGAATCTTTCCATTCATTTGTTTCCATTTGGAATGTGTTCCTCAGGGTTTCTGGTAAGGTTGGGAGCATGACACCTTAACCTGACTGTGGTGTGCAGGGTGGAACCTTGGGGAGGTGGTTGTTTGGTTGGGATATCTGGGACTGGGTCCTTGTGCATTTTTTTCAGAAAATGAGGAGAGCCAGACACACCTGAGAAATTCCCTGTGCCGACCTGGGGCTTTGCCAACGAGCAGTCACTAACGATCAGACCCTTGCACCTCCTAAACTGAGCTACGTAAACACATTTGGTCTTTAAAGTGGCCGGATGCAGCTATTTCATCATGGTAACAGGTGTGCAGAGGGAATCCAGCTCAACCGCCTCTTCTAAGGTCTCTCTAGACCTCTCAGTCCCCGGGGCCTCTCAGCTCCTGTTCTCCACTTCTCACGTGCGTGCGTGAATCAATTCAGAGCTGCTGAGAAGCCCTACCCGCCTGTCAGAAATGACTCTGTCAGATCAGTGCCTTCTCACACTCCCCCACCGTGGCACTGAAGCCTCTCAGACTGAAAATGTACTCTGCTGCAAACGCCATGTCCCTGCAGGAAGGCAACAAGAGGTGAATGGCTAATGGAAGATGGTTTCTCCACTGACGACAGGTTTTGTTTGGGAGGAAGGGAAGGCTAAGAAGGTCCTGAGCTTTGCCCCACATCACCACAACGTATCTGGTACTGGGCTCCACATCCATGAGAGTCTGTAAACTTTTGACAGAATGAGTGGGCTCAGAACATAACCCTCCTCCGCTCCCCCCCCGCTTTCTCCTGTTTACTATAACAAACCGGGACCACCCTACCTGTACAGTATGAGTTCCTCTCAGGGCTTCTTGTGCAACAAACTCAGAGCCTTCAGTATTCACACACATGCCAGCACAGGACTTGGAGACTGTTTCCTGCAGTAGTCAGAATACTGGGGAAGGTGGGCTGTTTATCACAACCATAGTGGATTCCTTTTACCCAGCCCACTTATGGTGCTGGTGGGAGGGCCTGTGGCGGACCCGATGATGAAGGCTGGGTGCATTTGGGGGAAAAGACTGTGTTGTCAGCTCTGGAGTCAAAGGCAGCTTAGGAGAAAGGAGAACTGTTGGCAGCTGCGGACTTCCAAGTCCCTGTGTCCTGGGAATGACCCCTCCTTAAAGAGGCCCTTTAACCGACTGCTTTCCTTCTTCAGTCTTCCCACAATGTTGGTTCCAACCTGATGCCCTTCCTTACTCCACCCACAGCAGCTCAGTCTTGTCCTGATCACCCGGTTATTTTCCAGCACCTCAAAGCACAACACTTCCACTTTCTAGATTAAGCAATTCAAGACCCCTCCCCACTGACCGGAGGAAATAGAAATTATGAAATTACCAAAGCCATCAGCATTTAGATATTCATATTCAGATGCAGTTCACCAAGAGGGGATAATTGGGCCTCCGTTCTCAAAAACCACCATGGCGTTTTGGTAACCATAGGCACAGGAATGCTTACTTCCTTTGGGAGCGGCAGTGTATTTGCATAAGCTAAGCCATCATTTAAAAGGTGATCTTCTCTCCTGTGGGGTGGGGGCAGGGAAGAGAAATAGACCACGCTGGGAAACCATGGGGATGCTTATTGCAACCTGTGGTCACTGGAGGGTGTTTGAGTCTCCCTCAGGATTTCCCTGGGTTCCGAGAAGAACCAGGGCAGACACACTGGTGTTGGAGAGGCTGAAGTTGGGGGGGATTGGTTCCTAGTCCTACCTGGGAAAACAGCTGAGGCTGGATCAGAAGGTCCTGCTCACGGGGTGTGACAGGGCCTCCTGAACAGAAAGTGACAGCTGAAGGCAGGAGGATGATTCTTGGCGCCTGAGAAAGGGGTGACACCAACACTAGGCTTGCTGCTGGAAGCACCCCACACGTTCTCTTTGGCTCTTCAACATGGTTACTAGCTTAGCTCCACTTTGCAAGTTGCTGAGGCTGTGGCCTCACATGTAGGAGCTTGGGTAGCACTACTTCTGTGGTTCTGGCCCCCAGCCTAGCTTCCCTGAATCTGGGGATTCAGGCAGAGGTATTTAGATGCAAAGCTCTTTGTGTTACACAATAGTCAAACTGCTGAGTCCTGCGAAATCTGCCACGATAATTCTGAGTTCTTCACTTTGAAGCTTCAGCCATCCCTGCAGTGACTTTTCACTGAATATGGGCAGACTCAGGTTTATCATTCCCTGGCCCTGACCACTGTGTATGTGGGAAGAAGGGAAAGCACTGTTGGTAGGTTTTTGTTGCCTTACACAGTTACTTACTTTAAGCTACTTTAAGATGACGCCTTTCCTTCTCTTTTTGATGTTGGAATAATTGTCATTTTATGAAATGCTTGTGGTGATGGAAAGTGATTATTGATTTTGCTACTAGTTGTACTTGACAAGGAAAATTTTATGTAGATCTCTCTCTTTCTCTTATCTATTTTCTCTTGACATTTTCTTTATTATTTATTTACTATTCTCTTTCATTAGTTTCTTTTTATACAGCTATCAATTGTAATTGAGCTATCATGTATCTATCAATCGGTCATTAATCTGTCATTTATGTATGTGTATATATGTATCATCTGTCATCTATCAATCCGTCTTTCTGTCATCATCCTTCTTCTAGATTATAATGGGCTCACAAAATCCTAAAGAATGGGACCTCTAACTGAGATGACTTACATGGAGGAAGGGTGGATCCTTGGGACTGAAAGGACAGGAGGTAGGTCTTATTGTTTGTTGGTCACTAAAGAAGAGACACTGAAGGAGTCCCCTGGAGCAAGGACTAGGGTTATGCCCCACCCCATCTGTCTTATTTCTCTGTGACCAGGCACAGGACAGCTATAGACAGAGGGACAGGCAGGGCAGGGCCATGGATTAGACTAGGTGCTGGGAAGAATTGGGCCCAGTCACTCAGTTCTAGGGAGTCTCTACGCATAAAAAGATTCTGGTCTTTGGTCCCAAACTCAGAGTTGGGTTGGCATAGGGTAGGAATTTATAAGCTGTGGGACCTTGGGGCAGGCACTTAAAACTCTAGAAATTTAGTAGCCCTATATACAAACTAGGGATCATAAAGTATTGGTCTCACAGTGCTCTTGTGATTGTCAAATTCATAAACAAAGCAGTAGTGTATCTGTTATGATAAAGGCTTGAGGGGACTTTGTGTGGATTCCATGGCGGGCAAGGGTGACTGAGGCAGGGGACAAACATGCCAGGCAGACAGAGCTTAAGTGAGAAGTTTATCAGAAAGGGAACGGGGAGGAGGAAAGAGAAAAGAGGTAAAAGGGACACAGAGACACACAGAGAGGACAGGAGAGAAGAAGGAGACAGGGAAAGTCCTTCTGCCCCATGGGAACCGCGGGGAAGAGAGTGGGAAAGAGAGGGCAGAAAGAGAGCATAAATGGGAGAGGGTCTTTCTTGGGGGTCCTTTGTGCCTGTGTGTGGACTACTGCAACCATGGAACCCTGGGCTGACCAGGGTGCTTACTGCCTGAGTGCATTCTGCCAGGTGACAGGGGCAGGCCAACATAATGCCAGAATCCTTACAATACCACCATTTGGGATATTGTGATGATAAAGGAGCAGCCCCTCTTTGTCCTTAGGGTCACTTTCCCACTGGGTACCTATTTCCTCATCTGTGAAATGAGGAGTTGGGTTTGTGACTTCTAAAGTTATTTCAGATTGGCCTGTGAATAGC